GATAATTTAGCATTTTGCAGACATTTGAGCAATTTGGGCGTACCAAAAGTCTTAGTTCAGTTTTTAGATACTAAAGATTTAAACTGCACTAAGATTCTTGGGACACTCCATATAAATGTTAGTTATTATTCATATCAACATTCTTCACTGACTTTTATGGAGGGAAGGGGTGGATTAGAGACCCCCTCCCATAAGTGGCCCATAAGTGAATGTACAGTTTGTGGCTGTGCATATCCTTGCAGGGGTACCTTTCCTCCCTCCAAAAATCTTCTCAAGTTGCTTGTGTTCCTGCCTGAAATTCCAACATTAGCAATGCATCCCTTTCACCCTTAAATTGTTTTTGGCTTCTGAGAATCCCTTAGGAAAACGAAAATGTTCCCTTGAGAAGGAGAAACAGCATGACACATGGGGAAAAGGGCTGGATTTGGAGTCAGAGGACATGTGCTGGAATTCCCTCTGCTACTGATCGTGTGACCTTGGACAAATCCCCGAATCTCCCCAGACCTCAGTTTTCTCATCTGTAAAATGAGGTTATAGCCCATATTCCATATAATGATTAGTAAGGGGAGGTGATTTCTATTCTTTCACATAGAAAAGTCATTTGGCTGAACCAACAGAAAGTGGAATCCGAGGACCTATTATTCTCTCCTAGAGTAACCTGGGGTGTCATTTAACTTCTTTGGGAGAGGGTGGGGTAGCTAAGACTCTCGCACTGCCATCCAAGCTCTAAATTCCCAATCCATAGGAGTTGTTAACCAATGTTGGCCGCCAGGTGTCACTGTCACACTGAGAATGGGAGAATGGGAAACCGTGTGTCTTATTGAGAGGTTTAACTATCCCACCCCCTTCAGAAATGGGGGGGGGGGGAGAGGGAATCACTAATCCACACTGGGGTGTGAGCTGATAAGGGATCAGGGATCTGAAAGAGACCTCAGAGGTGACCCAGTCTAGGCTCCTCCTCCCTCCCCCAACCCCATTCCCGTTTAACAGATGAAGAAACTGAGGTCTAGAGAGATCATATGACTAGTAAGCAGCTGAATCAGAATTTGAACCCGGGTCCTTTGACTTCACATTCTTTCTTTTGTATCACACCGACTTACTTAAGATATTTACCCTCCCAGAGGGTTTCAAATTTTATACTGATGATGATAATTTTGTAATTTGCAAAGTGCTTTACGTGCATTATCTCATCTGAGGTAATTTTCCTAGAGGAATTAGGAAAGCCCTCAGAGCCTCCAAGACCCAAAGGAACGAAGGTAGGATTTCAGGTATGGGATAGCGGTATAGTGGTATAAAATGTCTGCCTGGTACCCTTAAATACAGAAAAGGAATAATTATTTCTCTAGCACCTGCTATTTGCCAGGCACTGTGCTTTACAAATATCTTATTTGAGCCTATCACAACCCTGCAAGGTAGGTGCTTTTATGATCCCCATTTTACAGATGAGGAAACTGAGGCAAACAGATATTAGGTGACTTGTCTAGGATCACACACACACCCATAATAGGGTGAGTTCTGGCCCTGACTCTGCTCTTTACCTAGATGCGCTGGGGGAAGGGCAGAGGGGAGAGGGGAAGGAGAGGGTTTTCATTCCAGCCTAAGTAGGAGGCTTTTTGAGAGGGGTCAGGAAGACACGTCTCTAAGCAACTGTCACCGTGCCTGACATACACTCAGAGAATGTTAGAAATGGGCGGAGGTATGGAGGTGGGGGTGGAGGGAGAATTCTTCAAAGTTGCTTAGCCCAATCATCTTATTTTACACATAGCAAAAATGGCAATGATGATAATAATGAGAGCAATACTTGTTTGCAAAACACTTTAAATAACATTTCAGAGACGGGAGACTAAGAGAGGCTAGTGACCTACCCAAGGTAACAGAGGGATTGGCTAGAACTTTCCCTAGCCCACCCCCTCTCTTATCACAGCTCCAAGATCATAAGATCTAACTATAGGCCTGCTCTCTCCCCCCCCCCCCCACTTTAAAGCACAAAAAGTCTTTTCATCACTTCTGGTTAAGTACAATGCTGTAGGCTTGAATCTCTGATAGGCAATTAAGCTTTGTTCTCCTAATTGCCCGCTCTAATTTTCTAATGACTAACATCTTGAGGAATGGATTTTCAATTCTTTGCCAAGAGGTACATTGGTAGGAAGAGGCCAACAAGAGGTTGGCCAAGGTGTAAGTGAGCCTGGTAAGACCTTCTGAGCCACTGTCAGAGGGCCAGGAAGGCCTGCTTACAAAATGGCAGCTACCAAGAAGGGAACACCACTGTGGGGATAGGAGGCTGGTTCAGAGGTCTGGAGAACCTGTGCTACTCACTCAGTTCAACGCCAGTAGCCCAACCTGCCCTTGGTCATAGGCCCTACCTATTGTACTCGACACCTCCTTTGTCCCGGGTCTTGGTTGAAGGCAATGAACCACATAAAGGGATTTTCTAGGGCCACTGGGGCCAGAGAAGAACCTGTAGAATTCCAGAACTCCTTTAAATGACAAAACTTGAACCATAGGTCACAGAGACATGAGGTCATAGGATATAGATGAGAAAGGAACATCAGAGAACATTGAATCTCTAGTCTCTTCATTGTGCATAGAAAGAAGCAGTCTGGGGAACGCTAGGTAGTGCAGTGGATAGAGCACCTGCCTGGAGTCAGGAAGACCTGAATACAAATCCAGCCTCAGACATGTGATACTCACTAGCTGTGTGACCCTGAACAAGTCACTTAACCCCATTGCTTTGCCAAAAGAAAGAAAGAAAGAAAGAAAGAAAGAAAGAAAGACAGAAAGAAAGAAAGAAAGAAAGACAGAAAGAAAGAAAGAAAGAAGCAGTCATGGAATCTTGGCACAGGAAGAAACCTTGGACATACTCTATTCCAAAGTCTCTCATTTTACAGAAGAAGAAACTGAGGGAGCATGAGGCTTGTGCCAGATTGGAAATTGTTTAGATACTTACTAGCAATATGACCCTAGGCAAGTCATTTAACCTCTTGGGGTCTCAGTCTTTGCAAAATAAAAGGGCTAGAGTCAATGACCTCTATGATTCTTTCCAGATCCAAATCTATGGTCCTATGAAGCTCAGCAGGAGAAATGACTCAGCCAAAGTTACATTTAATTTAATTCAATTAAGCACTTAATCTGGGCAAGGTGGTATAATGGATAGAAAGCTGGCTTCAGAGTTGGGAAGACACTTGTTCAAATCCTACCTCTGACACCTACTAGCTGAGTGACCCTTCAAAAGTCACTGACCAACCCTTTCAATCCTCCAGGTAAGTGCTTAAAATTACAGAGCCAGTGGCAATCTGCATGGGTAGAAAGTTTCCTTATCGAGAATTCCCTAGACCAAAGAAATCATCAAGGTGCTATCTATAAAAAATATGAACCATAAAATGTATCGATAAAAAATGTATGAGTCTTTGGAAATACAGATGAAACAATTTCCCTTGCCTTCGAGGAGTTTATATTCTATGGGAGGGATAGAATGTGTGGACAGATAAATAAATATGATATAATTTGAAGTGCACAGATAACTAAAATAACATCATATGATATGATATGATATGATATAATATCATTTCTAAGTTCCACTCTGACAATTAGGTTGGCAGAGTGCAAACTCTTTGAAGACAGGAATTAGCTCACTTTTGTATTTTTATCCCCAAGGCCTAGCCCACAGTACGGACTTAATGCCTCTACCTGTCAACTGATTGAGAGATTGAACCTATGTTGGCAAGATAGGTTTTGAAAGGGGACCTTCCCTGCCCTTGACATAAAACAATGTACCCACCTGCTGAATGATACCTGAAACCTCTTTCAGAGGGGACAATGAGTGACCCAAATGCAAACATATACACACCAGAGGCCTAACTCGATAGAATAAATAGAGCCTTTCCTAAAAGCATGCTTTGACAGGTATACACCAGGTACCTGAGGAAGGGATGGGCTACTGCAGAGGAAGGTAAAGGGAATGCTGGGGGCTGACATGCTTTGGAAACTTCATAATTGTGTCAAAGCTCAATGCTGGCCCTTGGGAACTCAGAGCCAAGTTCTTGGCCGGCCACTGGCAAGCCTTTTTTCCTGAAGATGGTTGACAAGATGATTCTAGCTCCAAGATGTCATTGTCTCCTAGGGTTGTCCCTTCCAATGGGCTGAGGCTCTGAGGAGGGGGAGACATCTTAGCGCCTGTGTCTGCAAGCAAGAACCACTCCCAGGGATGCCTCTCCCACTGAAGACAGCATCTTTGTGGATATGAAAGTCTGGTATGGATCACTCAACATTGGCAGCTTCAGAAGCAACAGAAGGTCTTTATTCATTACTCACCTGGGGAGGATTCAGAAAGGGTCAGAGGTGGAAGGGCATGGCTTCTTTAGGAAAGAGGAGATGTATGGTTTAGGTTTCTACTTCCTATCCTTGGGTCTCTAGAGGAACTAGAAATCTGGCCTCTGTCTAGAGAATGTGAACCAGTCCGGTCCAGAGACGATCATCTCTTTCTTCTTTCCTTGCCAAATCATCTTGATTTGGAGCTGGTGGGAAGGACCCCAGCCAATGGGAAGTCCAAATCCCCTCTGGTTCTCTGAACTAAATCTAGGAAATTCCTGCACCCTAGAATGTAGTCTTTTCAGGGTGTCCAGAACCCCTGAGGGCCAATGGGGACACTATAATATGACGTAACATAACATATGATACGCTATATAATATAACATGATATAATTATATAATACAATACATGAGATAATATGGTATAATATAATATGACATGACATAATATACTATACTATTCTAATATAAATTCTAAGGTAATAGAAAAGCCTTCCACACTTGATAGTTACATTGTTGAACCCTGAGTCCATCAATGAGCACCCTCAGCCCCACCAATCCCACACACCAGCTTCCCCAACCTTGTACCTTAGAAGGAATTAGGGCACTAATACAAGACATATTAGAGCCCAGCTCCATGGGCTCCCAGATCCATAAATGGCTCTCCAAAATCTCTCTGATGCCAAGTTTACCTGAGGTTGCTGGGTGGTTGAAGGTCTCTGGGGAGACAGGGCGTGGGTCCGAGAGAGCTGCTGGTTCATTTTGCTGATGACCAGTTCGGTGATTAGCTGTCTGTCCTCCGCCTGGTGTTCCCCAATTAGAGGCATTGCACAATCTATGACCTGTCATAGAAAAGATCGTAGATTCACAGACTCAGATCAAGAGTTCTTGGCCCAAGAGTGGTTTAAAATATTTTGATGTATTTCAGTATGATTGGTTTCCTTTTCAGTCTTGTGTATTTCAATATAACTGGTTTTCTTTGTAATCTTGTCTATTTTATTTTGTGCATTTAAGAAAATTTTTCTGAGAAGGCTTCATCAGACTGCCAAGGGGGTCCCCAACACCAAGAAGGTCAAGAACTCCTGACCTATAGCTAGAAGGTCTCTTAGAGAGAAGCTAATCTGACCCTTCTCATTTTACAAATGACCAAGGAAGCTTGGTGGAATTTAAACCCAGGTCCTGTGACTACCAAGTCAGTATTCTTTCCTTAAAGTCCCAGACTCATAGAAAGTTAGAGGTAGAAGGGACCTAAAAGGTGGTCCATTCCAATATCTCAACTTATGCAGGAATTACTTCTTGACAAGTGGTTATCCAACCTCTATTTGAACACTTGAAGTGACAGTGAGCTCTCTGTCTTACAGGCCAGTTCAGCTCATAGCTAAATAATTCTCATCATTAGAAAGGTCTTCCTTTTCTTTTTCATTTTAAATGGATTTTTATTGATATTTTTTGTCTTTGCATCACCTAGAGTGGGGGTCCTTAATTTGGGGTTCATGAACTTATTTTCAAAAATGTTGATTACTTAATTCAATATAATTATATTTTTTGTAATTTTATGTATTTTATTTTATGCATTTAGAAATGTTATTCTGAGAGGGGGTTTGTAGGTTTTACCAGGTTGCCAGATGAGGTCCATGACACACACAGAAAGGTTAAAAACTCCTGCATTCCTTTTATATGTGGGGCTGAAAACTACACCTATAACTGCTACCTCCTGGTCACAAATTTAGAGAATTCTAGACTTAGAAGGGCAGCTAGGTAGTGCAGTGGATAGAGTGCCAGGCCTGGAGTCAGGAAGACCTGAGTCCAAATCTGGCCTCAGATACTTACTAGCTGTGTGACCCTGGGCAAGTCACTTTACCCTGTTTGCCTCAGTTTCCTCATCTGTAAAATGAGCTGGAGAAGGAAATGGCAAACCAGTCCAATATTTTTGACAAGAAAACCCCACATGGGGTCACAAAGAGTCACTGAAACAACTAAATAACAACAATAACAAAAGACTTAGCAGGGACCTCTGGACCACCTAGCCTAAGCCATAACTGAAAAAACAGTCTCTGTAATGTTCCTGCCACTCGGGACAGCTCTGATGGTCAGAAAGTCCTTTCTGAAATCGAGCTGAAATCTGCCTCGTGAGAACTTTCTTCTGTTGTTCTGAGGTCTGGACTCTGACGCTGTCCCCAGGTTAGGGAACTCGGGGTTTCTGGGCATTAAAGGGTGTGCCAATGGCGCCCGTACCAGTACTGGGCGACAGGACTGCACTGAGCCCAAGCGGCCTCCCTGTGCTTGGGAGGAATACAATGTGCAGTCAGAAGAGCCTGTCTCTTTGGAGAGCAGCTGGAAGGAGGAGCTTCTATACAAGCTCTCTCTTGGTTTCCCCTACTGATCTCCAGCTCGGGTATTACTGAGATGAAACAGACAAACATTGATGCTGTCAAGACATTTATGACTGTGTCTGTATCACAGGCACCAGTCATCAGGGTCCTGGGCTGGGTATTTCACTGAAGGAAGGGGAAAGCAAAGGGAATGAGCATTTATAGAGGGCCTACTATGTGTCAGGCACTGGGCTACAGTGCTCTCTGTAAGTATTAACTCATCTGATCCGCACAACAATCCTGCAGTGTAGGTGCTGGGGATATTATTCCCATTTCACAGTTGAGAATATTGAGGCAAACGGAGGTTTAGTGACTTGTCTAGGGACACACAGTTCCTAAGGCTGGATTGGACTTTCTGACTCAAGGTCCCATGCTAAACCCACTGTACCATCTAACTGCTTCTGAAGTCTCACAGTGGTACCCCCTCTTATGGAAGGACTCTGAAAGGACTTCCAAGATGGCAAAGCCCACGAATCAGGGCTGGACCCCCTTAGAAAGCAGGAGCCCTTTCTCATCACTAACACCTCACATTTATATAGGACTTAGCAGTTTATAAAGCATTGTTGCCTGCACTTTCTCTTTAATTTGTGAGACGTAACATCTGAATAACCAAAACATACACATAACTGGATAATAATGGCTAATGTTTATATGATGCTTTATATATATTATCTCATCTGATCCTCACATCAACCTTGGGAGGTAGGAGCTATTATTTTACAAATGAGAAAACTGAGGTTGAAAGTGGTTAAGGGCCTGCCCTAGGGCAGGTGAGCCTGGAGCCAGAATCTGAGTTCAAATCCAGCTTCAGACACTTACTAGCTGTGTGACCTTGGGTGAGTCACTTCACCCTGCTTGCCTCAGTTTCCTCATCTGTAAAATGAGCTGGAGAAGGAAATGGCAAACCACTCCAGTATCTTTGCCAAGAAAACCTCAAATGGGGTCAGAGAAAGTCAGATGTGAATGAAAGACAACTAAACAACAACAAAGCAACCTGCCCAGGGTCACAGGCAGGATTTGAACTCAGGTCTCCAAGCCCAACACTTTATCCACCGTCTCATCAAGCTGCCTCAAAAAGGGCTGAAAGTCCCTAGGGCCAGGTTGCCTACAAAAAGGGGAAATGGTGTAATTTGAAGGAGATTTTGGGGTACATATGGAAGGGGAAATCAACCTGAAAGTTGGCCCATAAAAACCTTTTTTTTTTTTTTAGGCAATTGGGGTTAAGTGACTTGCCCAGGGTCACACAGCTAGTAAGTGTCAAGTGTTTGGTCTGAGGCCGGATTTGAACTCAGGTCCTCCTGACTTCAGGGCCAGTGCTCTATCCACTGCGCCACCTAGCTGCCCCCCAGAAAAGTCTTCTGATGAGCTGGTGGTGTCCCAGGTAATCCTCAGTGCAGATCAGCGTTGCCCTGGCTGCCTCCAAGCCTGGAATGTGCTTCCTCCTCCCCTCCTCCTGCTGGCTTCCCTGACTTCTCTCAAGGCTCAGCTCAGATCCTGCCTCCTTCAGGAGGCCCTTCTGGCACACCCCTTAAGAGCCGTCCCTCAGAAATTACTTTCCATGTATTCTGCATATACCTTGTACGCACACAGTTATTTGCATGTTACCTTTCCCATTTGACTGTGGACTTCTTGAGGGCAGGGGATACTTGGGTCTTTCTCTGCATCCCTAGGGCTTAGCACAAATGCTTGTTGACTAATTGGGAAATTCTTGTGTGTGTTTTTAAGGAAAAAAATTTTTTAAGGTTTTCTTGAGAAGCATACCTCAAATCTGGCTCTTTATCATATATTACCTTGTACTGATATTGAACTGTGTGTGAATGGGGGGTGAAGGGTGTCGTGTTTGTCCTATAGGCTCTGAAGTCTTTGACCCTGTGATCCTAAGTACAAAACCCAGAGCTAGGCACACAGTATAGACTCAATCTTAGAAGGAAGGAAGGAAAAAAGGAAGGAAGGAAGGAAGGAAGGAAAGAAAAAAAGAAGGAAGGGAATTAGGAAAGAAAGAAGAGGGAGAAAGGGAGGAAAGAAAGGAGGAAGGAAGAGAGGAAAGAAGGGAGAAAGGGAGGGAGGGAGAGAGAGAGAGAGGAAAGGAGGGAAGGCAGAAACCGTGGCTTGATTCTCTGCCCATCTTCTAGGACCCTAACTCTCCACCCCTATGGGTGTTGTAGGGCACCACTAGTGTCCCCCCAAACCTGGAAGGGACAAGATTCAGGGGAATTAATGGCTAAGGACTCTGCCAGAAGTAGAACTAGGCACCCACTCTGAGGGCGGCCCAATGACTATGGTCACTGGCTGCTTCAGAGCATCTTTGCCTTAACTCATCTTTCCTTGACCATTTTTTCTTTCCTGCCACTCTGCCTATCTCCTCATCTCCCTTCCCTTCTCATTCCTCTTACTTCTACATCATTTTTCCCTTCTTCATCTCCCCTTATCTGCCTTCTCCCCCTTTCTCTCCCTTTGCCTTCCTCTCACCTCTTCATCTTCTCTCCTCGTTTCCTTGTTTCTCTCCCCTGAATCCTTTTCCCTACCCATCTTCTCTTGGCATCTTCCCCCAATATTTCCTCACCACTCTAATTTGGGGCAAGCTTGTTATTGAGCTCCTAGTAAGAACTCGTGTTCACACACACGCACACACACACACACACACACACACACACACAGAGGAGAGAAGTAGCCAAGGCAGTGGGCAGTGGAGGCAGGGGGAAATGTGGTTAAGGGCCGTGGCTCGAAGCAGGGGTGTGGTGAGTTCTCAGAAAGGAAGTTATTAGAGGAATCAGCCAAGCAGAGAGTGATGGTTCCACAGAACTTACTCATCCACCCCCAGCCACAAGTGGGGCACATGGCCTCCCAATGTGTGATCCAAAGGACGCCCACAAGACAGCCCCAGACATTGGGCTCCCTCCTCCTCGGCCTCCCCACCCCCTGGTTGGTAACAGGTCTTCATGCACGTAGCTATATGTAGGAGCCATGTGTCCTATCAGTAGGCAGGACTTCTCATAAGAAGATGAGGTAGTCCTTATAGGGGGCGCTTTGAAGGGCTTCCAGAAAATCCAGGTGGATTCTGAGGTCTCTTCCAGCTCTAAATCTATCACCCTATGATCCTAAGATCCCTGCAAGTCCAGGAACTACGGGGCCCAATATTCCACCACTGACAATTTATTCTTTGAGTTTACTCTGGAATCAGGAAGACTTGAGTTCAAATCCAACCTTTGACACTTACTATGTGACCCTGGGCAAGTTATTTAACCTCTATTTGGCTTAGCTTCCTCAACTGTAAAATGGGGATAATAACAATAATTAACAGCATCTACCTTGAGGATCAAATGAGATAACAATTGTTTTTTGTTTTTGCTTTTTTTAAAAAAAAGTGCTCAGCACAGTGCCTGGTACATAGTAGGTGCTATATAAAGGCTTATTCCCTCCCTCCCCCCATCCTTGTTTAAAACACAAATGGTAAAAGGATTGATATATTGTCTTTGATACTCCCATTTATCAGATACTTTTCTAGTTGGCAGGAAAGATCAGATGTGTGTGTGGAGGAGGAAGAGGGTGGCAAGAACACTCAGTCCCTTCCAGGTCTAAAGCGATGATGCTATCACGTAAGCTCCTAGAGGGCAGGGCTTGTTTTTGCCTTTCTTTGCATTCCTAGTGCTTAGCACAGGGCTTGGTATACAGTTCCCTGCTTAATACAGCCAGGTCCTGGTTAGTGAGATTAATTAATCCATGAGGTGGTTGCATGATTAGAATTTGTGCTATATACTTCCATTTAGCTAGAACCAATGACCATATTTTACATATTTATAACTACGAACAGAGTGAATTCAAATATGTGGGACCACTTCACAGGATTCATTACTAGCACAGTGATTCAAAGTTAGTTGAGAGGAGAGAGTCTGGCACATTGCAAACATGGTGATTTATCCACAGTCAGACAGCAAGTTAGTCACAGTAATGAGGATAAGAAACCAGAGTTCCTGACTCCCATTTTCCAGGGGTGGTGGCGTTTTTGTTTGTTTGTTTTCCAACGCCACAATACACCTCCTCCTCCTCCTCTCCCAGGGAGGACGACATCTGAGCGGGAGTCCTAGGAGACAACATGGTGTCATCCCTGATTTTTAGAATACAAAAGGCCAAAAAGACCTGGGCTTTGGAAAACTCTCACCCCTTGATGACTGGAGGTATAGGGGAGGTTCTGCTTCCTAGGACCATAAGACCCAATAGTTTAAAACATTTCCCTCTATCAAGATGCTATTTCTCAGCCCCAGGAACTTCCAACAGGTCACTGAGTTTTTTCTGTGGCTTCTTCACCCAAAAGAGAGAGTTATGGACCAAGGGATGCCCACCTTGGCCCTTTCCTTCCCTCATCCAACATAAAGTCCAACCTGCCTGGCTGAGTCAGACTTACCTCAAAAATGTAGTCCTTCCCGTCCTTGCCATGCACAGCCTTGACAGCACAGATATCCAGGCCTCCAAATATTTCGGAGCAGGAATCCACCCACAGCTTATATCTGCAAAAGGGAAGGGAGACCCAGGTGAGGAATGGGATGGATCCAAATGGTTCCATGAAAACTTTACTCTCCCTTCCCTTTCTTCCAACCCCTCACTATCCCCTGTGCATGCCCCAAGGCCGTTCCTGCAACTGCATCTTTGCACATGCTGTGGCTTCAGCCTAGAATACTCTCCCTTCCTCTCTGACCATCCACATCTCTCCTGTCCTTAAAGGCTCAACTCAAACCCGATTTATCCATGAAGTTTTCCCTCTAACACTGGCACCCCCTCAGTAATATCTCCCTCTGCTAATGACACTTAGTACGTCTGTGACCATGAGCAAGTCAACCTCTCTGAACCTCAGTTTTCCCATATGCAAAATGAGAATTGTGGTACATGTAATACTTACCTCACAAAGTTGTCAGGATTAAATGAAGTAATTTATGTAAAGTGTTTTGCAAGTTCTCAAGTGCTGACTAAATGTCCACTATGATTATATTGTTGTTGTTGTTATTATTATTACTAGCAGGTAACACTTAAGAGTCTGTACCTTCTCAATAGCATGTAAATACTGCTTTGTATTAGTCATGCAAACAAGTCTTGCTTCTCTAACTAGACTGTCAGGCCCTTGAAGGCAAGGACTGTGTCTTATACTTTATATATCCTAGCACAGACCTGTTTGCAAAATAAAAACCTAATACATTTTGTTGAATGAATGAATGGATGGATAGTTGGACAGATGGACAGATGGATGGATGGATGTATGGATGGATGGATATATGGATGGATGGCTAGATAAATGGATGGATAGATGGATGGATACATAGATGGATGGATGGATAGTTGGATGGATGGACAGATGGATGAATGGATGGGTGGATAGATGAATGGATGAATGGATATATGGATGGATGGCAAGATAAATGGATGGGTAGATGGATGGATACATGGATGGATGGATAGTTGGATGGACAGATGGATGGATGGATATATGGATGGATGGACGGATAAATGGATGAAAAGATGAATGGATGGATGGAAAGCTAGGCGGATGGATAGATGGACAGACAGATGGATAGATGGTTAGATAAACGAATGAACAAATGTTTGAGTTTGTCCATCTGCTTTTTGCCTTCTATCCCTTGATTTATGCTCATCCTTTCTGTTGCCCCCTTTTCAATCCTTGGGGTGCTCAGAAAGTCATTCTATGGGCTCAAAAGTTTGTTTACTCACCTGTCCGACATAGCAATCTGCTCTAGCATTGCAGATCCAGTGTTCGTCTTCCAGTTTCCTGAGATGGATGTCCTCCTAGAGCAAGCACCCAGGCCAGGCCAGGCCAGACCAGGCCAGGCCAGGGGGAACAGTGAGTTATTGACTGGGAGGAGGGCAAGAATGGTCTCACTTCCATGGAGCCAGCTGACACTTTTCGTCCCCACATCTCTATTTCCCCTGGGTCTGGGTTCTATCTGTTTGGTCCAGAGCCAAGTTCAGAGGGCTATTCAAGACTATCTCTCTTGGCTAAACTATCATTGGTCAGTCTTAGTAGGAATTCTGGGAAAAACTTTATGCTAACTCTCAGGGTCTTGGTCTAAAGCTGGAAGGGACCTCCGAGGCTAACCTCTCATTTTACAGATGAGGAAACTGAGGCCCAGAGAGGTTAAGTGACTTACCTCAGATCTTTCAGAGTTTTTATTTGAGGCCTGGCTCATTACCATCCCCTAAAGTCTATCTCTTAGGCCCTGCAAGGTGTAGTGGGGAACCCCCCCCCCCCATCAGATATGGAATCTGCGGAACTAGGTTTACATCCTGGCCCCACGACTTATTAGTTGTATAATTGGGGGGGGAGTCACTTGATCTTTCTTTCACTTGCCTCATCTGTAAAATGAGGATAATGATTCACTACCTACTTCACAGGGCTGTTGAAAGGATTAAATAAGTTAACGTATGTACAATTTTTTATAATTGTGTTTAATTATATACTAATAGGTAGCATTTATATAGTGCTGTAAGGTTTGCAAAGTGCTTTACAAATATAATCGTGACTGAGCAACAGTAATGGACAATGATCATTGGATATTAGAGGAGAACACCTAACATCAAATGAGGCACCCTAGAACGGCTGTAATTAATAGTCTTAAAAGCTGATTCCCTACTGCATTCATCTGGGGCCATTGATCCACAAGTCAGATATTCTTTCCGCATCTCTTCTGTGCTTGATTGACTTCTCTTGATGATGGAGAAGCCATTAGCTCTACCTGCTACTGCCTGTTAATGCTTTTTGAAAGGGCTGGAGGTCTTGTCTCTATCAAGGGTCAGTAACTCTCCAGAAAAATCAGTCAGGGTTGATTTTCCTAGATTTCCATGATATTGCTGTCTCCTGGTTTCCTTCCTTCCTGCGTGACTTCTCAGCCTCCTTTGCTGAATGTTCATCTGAGTCATGCCCACTGACTATGAGTGTCCTTCTAAATTCAGTCCTCAGGCCTTTTCTCTTTTCTCTCTATAGTCTCTCATTTGGTAATCTTAGAGCTCTCCTGCTTTCAGTTACGATCTCTATGAAGATGAATCCCAGATCGATGTGTCTGGCTCTATTATTTCTTCCAAACACCAGTCCCCATCACTCCCTGCCTTTTTATGTCCATATGGACTGTTTGTGCCTGACCCATGGTAGAGCCTTCCAAGCGTGTACTGGTCTGATCCACCAAAGTCGGACACACTGTAGCTTGACCCCAACATAGTGATGCTATTTTGGTCGTCTTCGAGCACAAAGGACAAAGACTACAATGACCTTTTGAACACCCCACATTGGATGTGCGGTAAACATGTCAAATTCCACATGTCCAGAAGAACTCATTCCTTCCCCCTCCAAATCTTTCTTCTTAAATTTCCGGTCACCACCATCCTCCTGGTTCTCCGGGCTCACATTCATGGTGCCATCCTCAACTCCTCGCTTGGGCTAACCCTGAATAACCAATCTCGGGTCAAATCTTCTGGCTTCTACCTTCACAGAATCTTCTCTCTAATCACCCAGCTGCTTTTCTGGTTCAGAATATCATCATTTATGGCCTGGACTGTGTAACAACCTTGTAATGTTTCTGTCCGCCTCAGTTTTCTCCCCACTCCAATCCACCCTCCAGTCAGCCACCAAGGTGATTTTCCTAAAACACAAGTCTGACCACCACCCTCCCTTACTCAATAAGCTGCACTGGCTCCGTATTGGCTCCAGGACCAAATATAAACTCCTTTGGTTGATACTGAAAGCTCTTTACAGCTTGGCACCTCCCTCTCCAGGCTTCTTACACTTTACTCCCCTCCACGTCTACTACCACTCAGTGACACTGGATTTCTTGCTGGTCTTCTCATCGGGCACTCCAACTCTGACTCTGCCTTTATACCCTCTCCCTCGAGCCTGAAATGCTCTCTCTCCTTATCTCTGACTCCTGACTTCCACGGCTTCCTTCAAAACTCAGGCAGCTCATATCTCACCTCCTGCAGAAGACGTCTCCCTGCTCCAAACCACCAAGGTTAGTCACTTCCCTCTGACATTTCATTGCATTGACCCTGTATACATCTTATTTTCTAATTGTTATTCGCCCACTAGAATGATTTCCTTGAGAGCAAGGATCATATTTCCTCTTTTCTTTATATCCCCTGCCCTAATTAGAGCACCTGGAACATAATATTTGTTATTGTTCAGTCATTTCAGTTGTGTCCAACTCTTTGTGACTCCATTTGGGGTATCCGATATACAAAAACAATGAACAGATATATACACATATATAATGTACATACACATACAACACATAAACATATATGTGTGTATATATACAGACATATATGTGTGTGTATACACACACATATATAAAACCAAGAGCCATTCACCACTAAATACGCGATCAAAAGATATGAAAAGTTATCAAAAGAAGAATAGTAAACTATTAACAACCACTTGAAAGTATGCTCCAAATTACTAATAATAAGAGAAATGAGAGTCAAGGTTTTCACACCCCGCAAATTAACAAAGGTGACAAAAAATGGAACTAATCAATGCTGAAGGGGATATGGGAAGATAAACATACTAATGCATCATTGGTGGAGCTGCAAAACAGTAAAACCACTTTGTTTTGTTTTGTTTTGTTTTTGGCTAGGCAATGGGGTTAAGTGACTTGCCCAGGGTCACACAGCTAGTAAGGGTTAAGTGTCTGAGGCCAGATTTGAACTCAGTTCCTCCTGAATCAGGGCCGGTGCTCTATCCACTGCACCACCTAGCTGCTCCCCCCCCCCTTTTTTTTCAGTAAAACCATTTTGGAAAACAATTTGGAATTGGGCAAATGAAGTGAATGAAATGTCCATACCCTCTGACCCAGAGATTTCATTTCGAGGCTTATACTTCAAGGAGGCCATTGATAAGAAGAATGTCCTTAATACAGTAGAATGTTTATAGAAACTTTTTTTTGTGATAGCAAAGAACTGAAAACAAAGTAGATGTCCATTCATTGGAAAATAGCTAAACTAATTGTAGTACATGAATATAATGGAATATTATTGTGCTCTAACAAATGATGAATGTGGTGAATACAGAGAATCATGGGAAGATCTATGTGAACTGATGCAGAGTGAAGTAATCAGAACCAAGAAAACAACATACATAGTAACTACAACAATATAAAGGGAAAGAAAAACCACATACACATAAAAAGATCAAAAGTAAATATTGAAAAATTATAAAGAAAAAGCATGGCTCGAAAGAAGAGATATGAAAAGTCACTCCCACCCGAACCTTTTGATGAGGTGGGAGGTTCACAAACATTGTATGTTATTCTAAGATTTATTTTAACGTGTTAATCAGTTACACTGATCTTTCCCTCTTCTTTTTCTTTTTTTTAATATTTAACAATACTATTTGTTATATGGGGTGGCTCTCTGGGAGTGAAAGGGATAGAGATACTGGGGAAAACTATGGTACTGTCAAAAACAAAATGCATTGCTACCCCACCCCCCACCTTTTTAAACTATGTTATTATATAACACACAAAATAATAAACTATCTCCTCTTGGTGTTTCCCAATGGGTTGGATCCAATGAAGCTAGGAGTCAGATCCCATTTGCAAGACAAAAGCTATTAACCCCTAGTTTTTGAGAAAGAGGGTTGTGGCCCCAAGGGTCCAACTTACATATAAGCTTTGTAGTTGTTGCCAATCTTCTGGATCCGGATGTCATACTTGGCATCAATGAATGGCTCTGCGGTGGCATAGGTCTGGGTGAGGGCCACCACGCTGGCGATGTCTTGGAAGTCGTAGTGATTCTCCACCTTTACCTGGTAGTGGAGCAAGGTTGTGAGAGGAGGAGCAAATGTGAGGGAAAGGGAGAAGAATCGTGAAGCAGGACCCCCAAATCCATTTGACTAAAAACCGTTCGATGATCACCTGGCTCCTATACTTTCCCACAAGTCTCTCTGCCTCTCCTACTACTTTATACTTCTTTAGGCCCCTCTTCCTGGGTTCAGAAACCATCCGCGGTCTTCTACAACTAACACAGTTCTCTCTGAACCCTAATAGTTTTTGCAACAGAAATCTAATCAAAACAGGGAATACAACAGGAATTCTAAACCTTTTGGCATGTGTGGCCTGGGCCCCTTTGGTAGTCTGGTAAAGCCTATGGATCCCTTCTCAGCATAATGCTTTGAGATATATTTTTTAAAAATACACAGGAAACCAATTATATTGAAATATAATTCTCAAAAATAATTTTTAAGTCATGGATCTCTGATTAAAGTCCTTGGTATCCAGAGAGAAGAGAAAGCCATGGTATTTTATTTCTCACCAGCCTTGTTTTCAGTTTTCTTTAAAGTTCACTGCCTACATTCCGTTAGCTCATGACTGAAATGGCCTGACTGAATTTGCTTCCTTGCTAGAACTGGAAGTCTGGCATGGCAGGCTTTCTCCAAGAAAGGCTTTCAGAACATGGTTTCCTTTGATGCTTGGTGGCAAAAACAAAACAAAACAAAACGAAAAAACAAGATTCTGTTCAGGATAGCTATTGCCACCACACTCCATGGCATTAGGGTGAATGCAACCGGTCCACATATTCAAAGTGGGAAAAGGTTATCTGGTATTGTTGGTATAGAACCAGGGCTCTTAGCTGAAGAAATACCCTGACTTTCAGAACTAAGATCTCCAGAGTTACAGAGTAGCCCAGAGACCTTCCCTCAGTGTGGATGTTCACCTTGAATAGAATAGAGGGAAGAAGAAAGTTGATCTGAGTTGCTCTCAGAAACTTATCCCTTCCCACATACATTTCTGCCCCTCTTCGCTGCTCTTTTGGCTTCTTGTAACTTACCTTCCCCATGCCCGAGTGTGCATGCCCAATCTTTACCACCACAGGGAATGTCGGTAGAGTCAGCTAGAGACAAGAGAGAAAAGAGTAGGCTTGACTCAGAACTTTTTGTGCCTCATCCAGCACCCAGGCCCAGGCCAAATCAGCTGCTCTTCCGAGGTTAGGGCTAACCCTGGCTTGGGCACCATGTTTCTTTTGCCCAGGATTCCACTCCTGGACAAGCTTGCCCAGAACGTGGCTACAGTGAACAGCTGATGAAGGAGAAGCCAACTTTGCTTCATCAGGACCAGGTCATGCCAGACTAACCTAATTTTCTTTTTTGACGGGGCTATTAGATTGGTATGGAGTGAATGTAGCATGGGAGAGAGAAGGCTGGGCTTGGTATCAGGAAGCCATTGGATCAAAACCTGCCCTAATACTTACTGCATCTGTAAAATGGCACCCACCTCCAGGGTTGTTGTGAGGATAAAATGAGATCATATTTATAAAGCAATTTTTTTTGCTTTATTTTCAAATTATTTTGCAAACCTTAAAGCATATATAATCAAACTATTACTGGGCCACTAAGGACAGAATTAGGAGTAAGAAAGGGAAGCTGTAATGATGCAGGTGTAAACTTGGAAGTCAGGCAAGCCATGAAATTTCCATGTATCTCAGGCCAGTTCTGGTATTTACCCACTAAGTCATAGATAGGTGACAATCTGCACAGGAGGGAGGTCTCACACTGGGAATTCCCTCTGCTGAACAAATGACAACTGGACCATGTGTTCCTTCACAAATTTGCATATTAGATCAGGGAAATGCCATAGATTTAACTTATGTCTTCCACTTATATTATTTTTTGACATTCTTTTCTTTTTTATTTAGTATTTTATTTTTCCCCAGTTACATGTAAAAACAATTTTTAACATTCTTTTTTAGGGGAAGCTAGGTGGTACAGTGGGTAAAGCTCCAGCCTTGGAGTTAGGAGGACCTAAGTTCAAATCCAGCCTCAGACACTTGACACTTACTAGCTGTGTGACCCTGGGTAAGTCACAACTCTGATTGCCTCACCAAAAAAAAAAAATTGTTCATTTTTAAAACTTTGAGTTCCAAGCTTATGGAAGTGATTGCTAATAAATCAAAATAAATTAATTTAAAAAACAAAAACAAAAAAATTTTGAGTTCCAAATTCTCTCCCTTCCTTCCTCCCTACCACCCCTCAATGAGAAGTCAAGCAATTTGATACAGGCTATACATGTGTAGTCATGCAAAACATTTCCATAATAATCATGTTTATTACATTTATATTATTAATTTATTATTATTTAAATTATATTTTGGCCAAAAAAATTGAAGTTGCTCATAACATTTTTATTTAAAAGTTGGAGAAATATGGGCTACATGATAGTACAGTGAGATGCTTTTAAAACTTGTTATATATCTGGACTCAAAGAAGGAAGGAAACAAGCATTTATTAAATGCCTACTATGTGCCAGGCACTATGCCAAGAGCTTTAGAAATATCTCATCTGATCCTCATAACAACCCTGTGAAGTAGGTGCTCTTATTATGCCCATTTTACAGTTGAGGCAACTGAGGCAAAAAGAGGCTAAGTGACTTGTCCAGGGATTTTTATTAGTGTAACTGACATTAAAGAAGATGAAGCACCATCCCCTTTGCTGCTTCACCCTAAGGACCACAGGAACTTTCCACATAACTTTGGCTAAAATCTATTTTGTGTTAACTTCCATTAATACAAGATGAACTTCTTGAGAGCAAGGTCTGTCTTGCTTTTATCTTTGTATCCTTAGACAGAGTGCTTCATACATTTGTCGTTCAGTCCTTTCAGTTATGCCAGACTCTCTATGACCTCATTAAGGGTTTTCTTGGCAGAGATACTGGAGTCGTTTGCCATTTCTTTCTCTAGTCCATTATACAGATGAGGAAATTGAGGCAAAGAGGGTTAAGTAACTTGCCAGGGTCACACAGCTAGTAAGTGCCCGAGTCCATATTTGAACTCAGAGAAATGACTTCGGGTCTGGCACTCTATCCACTGTGCCACCTAGCTGCCCATCTTCATACATAGTAAGTACTTAATACATTTTTCATTCATTCATTCATTCATTCATTCATTCATTCATTCATTCATTCATTCATGGTATCCAGAATGGGGAAGCTGAAAATCTTCTGGCTCCTGGTAAAGGCCACATGTGGAGGGCTAAGTTCAGTCCTGGGAGGCATATTTTTAGCAGAACATTGATAATCTAGAGAAAATCAACATAAGGTTGACCAAGATGGTCAAAGGCATAGAGATTGTGTCATATGAGGATTGATGGAAGAGGTTTTGCCTGGAGAATAGAAGACTTATAAGGGGCATGATTACTATCTTCAAGTATCTGAAAGGCTGCTATATGGAAGAGAGAGGGTCAGTCAGGTGGCACAGTGGGTTGAGTGTTGGACCTTATGTCAGGAAGACCTGAGTTCAAATCCCACCTCAGACGCTTACTAGCTGTGTGACCTTGGGCAACTCACTTAGCCTCAGTTTCCTCACCTGTAAAATGGCACCTAGTTCTCAGGGTTGTTGTGAGGGTAAAATGAGAACATATTTGTAAAGCAATTAGCAAACCTTAAAGAGCTATATAAACATGAGTTATTACTTAGTCACTGAAGGCAGAATTAGGAGTAAGAAGAGGAAGTTATAATGAGGCAGGTATAGACTTGAAAGTCAGGAAAAACTTACTCGACAATGAGAGCTGTCCAAGAAAGGAATGGGCTGTTTTGGGAGGCAGCAGGTTTTGTCTCACTAGATAGATGCCTTCAAACAGAAACTGGACAGGGATGGTGCAGAGACTATTTTTGATCAGTTACATGTTGGACCAGTTGGCTTCTGAGAGTGTCTCCTCCATACCCTTTTCCATCAGCTGCTAAATGTTTGTTCGATTGCATTTTTTATGTGGTTCCCCATCTCTACCCTTTTCCCCTAACCGCACTGTGTTCCCTCTCTCAAGGGCTCTCATGCTGATCCCTTAACCATGTTTCTCTCACTCACCCCTGCCTTCCCAATGCTCAGAACCCTTTTCTCTCCTTTCCTCAAACAAAACTTACCACCCTCACAGAATTTCAGATGTGGTAGGGATCTCCAAGGCCAATCCAGCCTTGACCAAGAAGCTTCTCTCTAGCATACATCAAAAGTGGTCAATTGGCCTTTGTGTGATGGATGACCTCTAGTGAGAAGGAACAGATTCCTTTCTAAGGCAGCCCCTCCCTTTTTTTTTACTTTAGAATAGTGCTAATTGTTTGGATGTTTTTCCTCACCTTGAGTTTTTAAAAAGAGCTGTTTATTTTATTAATTTGTCATCTTGTCTTCTCTTCCCTCCCTTAGTTGGAATCTGTCAAACAAATTCACTAAGTCGCCAGTTAGTCAGTCACTAAGCAATTATTAAGTGTTTACTATGTGTCAAGCACTGTGCTTGAAACCAAGGAAGTTAAAAACAGCCCTGCCCTCAGGAAGCTTGCATCCTAATGCAGGATACACCATGTGAATGACTAGGTACATATGAGAAATATACAGAGTGTATGTAATAAAATAAAATAAAATTTTGAAAAATGAAATATAAATAAATATACAGAGTAGGTGGAAGATAAATTGAGAGGGAAAGGCATCATTGGTAAGGCAGTAGAAAACTACACGGCAAACCTCCCAGAGGTATCAGCATTTAAAAGAGAATTTTTGAAGGTTAGCGATGCTTTAACTGACAAAGAATTGTTCTAAGTTTAAGGCAAGAGAAGGAAACAAGCCTTTAGTGGGCACTTACTGTATGCCACGCACTGTACTAAGTCCTGGGGACACAAAGAAAGTCAAATCCAATCACTGATCTTAAGGAGCTCCAAGTCTAACGAGTTAGACAACATACAAACCATTATGTAAGACAAGACACATAAACCAAGTAAGTTGTAGATAGCCTCTGAGGGAAGGCGTTAAGATTAAGGAGATCTAGAAAAGGCTCCTTGCAGAAAGTAGGACTTCAGCTGAGACTTGAAGTCAGAGAAGCCTGGAAGCAGAGATGAGAGCATTCCAGGCACGGGGGGACAGCCAGTGATAATGCACTGAGTTTAGAGATGGAGTATCTTGCTCGAGGAATAGCCAGGAGACTAGCATAATGGCAGAATTAGAGGCACTGAGACTACCAGGTATGACAGGAGGCAGTGAGGTGTGGTGGAAAGAGAACCAGACTGGGGATCAGGAGATGAGGGCTCTAGTCCCTGCTCTTCCATTAACTAGTGGTGTGACTTTGGGCAAATTTCTTCTCTCTGGGCCTCAGTTTCCCTATTTGTAATATTAGGCAGCTGGACAAATTATTTTTAAGGCCCCTTCTAGTTCTATGATCCTTTATCATTCTATGATTTTACAAACTATTTATGAACTCAAGATATGAGAATCCTGAAGGCCATGGAAGGGTAGGTAACCTTTTATTTTTTTCTAAATCAGCCTTACTCCTTCTGTTTCTCCTCTTGAACTTTTGTTTTTCTTTCCTGGACATCATCATCATCAGTCCTATAAAGGGAACTGCTGACAGAAGCAGGTTTTAAAAAGAAAAACATTTTATTTTTTTTCTTCCTAGAAAATGTTGTTGCTGCTGATGGAAAGTTAGCCCATATTGGGACCCTGGAGCTAACCACAGGCACTGGGAGTGCCTTCAATGAGGCTTTCCACATTCCTGGTCTGTGGCCAGGGTGGCCTCTGCTTGGTGGGATTGAGGGCAAGATTAGAGAGGGACAGGAGACAGATCTGGGGGCAGGAAGAAGAAAGAAAGACGGCTGCCCTATCTTGAACCCCAGGAGCTCTCTATTTGGCTTTACCACTTTCAGACCTAGAGTGCACTGACTCATAGTAGAAACAGAGAATTTTTAGGCTGGGAAAGAACCTAGAGACCATCTAAATTAACTTAATCTTTTCACAGATAAGGAAACTGAGGACCAGAGAGGGAGAAACTTGTTCAAAGTCACATGTGACAGACATGAGTAGAATCCGGTCTCTTGACTTCCCTTTTCTTTTCTTTCCTCTCTTTCTTCCTTCCTCTTTCC